CGACATAAGTGGAGTATCGAATATGAGTTATGTTAGTTACCTGGTGTGAGGAACGTGGAGTTGTCAAGATGCCACGTCATTTCTGCCTCATAATGTGTGAAAATTTGAATCGAGCACCCAATGTTAAACTAAAGGACCATCTACTATTGAGGTCCATCCGCATGTGCTTTTGTTTTTAATATTGGTAAACTTAATTTTAAAAAGATAGAGACTATTTCAGACGTGTTTTTTACACAATGCAACCAACAGAGGTGTATTTGACTCAGTTTTTAACAAAGGGATTTTTCTTCGGAGGCTCGTGCGAGGTCAAAATCGTTTTGATTCCAAGGAGATTCGTGTTCAAAGGCTTAAGCGTTGCATTCTTATTAAGCATCTTCGTTGAAAGAACTGGAGAGTCTATTTTCATCATTTGCAAAGAAAGATGTTTACATGCTATTCTGTGCGGCATTCTCAAAGTTCGCTTGCAAAAATTATCTTTTTGCTGCAATAGCATTCTACTGTACGTATGCATATATATTTTTTCAAATCACGCAATCTGTAAATTGTTGCTTGGTCAGTTAGGAAAATGAATAATCAGACAAGTCGTATAGCTATGCAGAGCTTTCTTTCATTTAGGTTTTTAATCATTTGCTTACATACCTAAGTTAAAGAAGAACTGGGAGCTCTGGTAAATCTTTTAAGCTTCTTAAAGACAGTAGAGACTATTCCAGCTCTATTTGGGGAAAATGACAACTATTCGAATTTCAATTAAAGTTCAAAGTTTTTTTTTCTCTTTTAAGAGGCTTGTAACTACCTTGATACAAAGAAAATAAAAATATATTGTTTAGGCCGGCGAACTGAAATGTTTGCCCTAGTTTTAGACACACCAGGATAAGCTTTGGTTGAAGACAAGCCAAGTAGTTGTTGTTGGTATTTCTAGACATCAACTAAAGGTACAAGATTTTTCTACATAAAAGTATATGTTATGTCGATAATGGTAAGCTATTACTAGCTTATTTTCCTGTAAAACCGTTCAGGAAGATCATATTTTACTATGAGAAGAAGAAGGTCATATTTTTTCTCTTTCTAGATGCTTGTAATTACCTTGATACTAAGAAAAAAAATAATTATAAGTACAGTTAAAAATGACTAAAAAGAAACACGCATGATTCCCTGCAACTCTGAGTTTCGCGCACACGCGCGCGTCAGACATTAAATCTGTCTGAAGAGTGCGTAAGCACGAAACTCAGAGTTACAGGGAATCATGCGTGTTTCATTTTAGTAATTTTGAACTGTATTTCGCTCTACACTGATGGGTATTGAGCACTTTCCAAAAGCATTTGCTACAATTTCTCACAATTATAATTATAAATATATTGTTTAGGCTGGAAAATTGAACTGTTTTCCTTAACTCTAGATACCCCAGGATAAGCTTTCGTTAAAGAAAAGCCGAGTAGTTGTTGTTAGTATTTTTAACTAAAAGTACTAAAAGTACTTTTTTTTTAAATGAAATTATATGTTATGCCAATAATGTTAAGCTATTACTAGCTTTCTTTCCTGTGAAATCATTCACGAAGGTCATATCTCTACTATATAACTCTACGTGGTGTATACCTAAAAACTATTTTGCATACTTTTAACATTACTTGTGGCTGAATCCATTCCAAATGAAACACAATAAAAAGTGAAATTTTTTCAGCTGAGGAAGATTTTTCTATTGAGACATGGTTGGAAAGAGGAGGAGAAAGGGAGATGGGGTGGGTGGATCGGCCGTCTTTGTAGAAAGATAGAGTCTCCCCGGTCGTTCTCCATAAGCTGACCGTATTGATCACCTTTTGATATAGAAAAGCAGAGAAGAAAAATGAGGTCTTCGTATTCGATTATTGACATGTAGAACGAAAACGCCAGTTCGTAAAGATATCTCCTCTGGTCATCGCCAAAACCATTTTTAAGTCGAGTTTGTTATGTTCTTACATGGGCAGTTCCAAATCAACAAGGTATGGGAAAATGCGGGCCGAGACTCTCGTTTCAGTAAAGTGGTTAGGTTACGAGGCAAGATTCAAAATGGTGGCGTTCAAATTCTTTAGGACAGATGAATAGTATGAAGGAGTTTTTTTTTAAAGGCCACGTTACCCTTTGGAATCTCAAACCTCGGACAGCGTTATAATGACATAAACGCTTTCTAATTTGCGGAGATGGAAATTATACAACGTCCTTAGATCATACTTCTTTAGCTTGTAAGCCACCAATTCATGTGCTAGACCCATATTCCTGACTCGTGTCCATAGATATCTAATGATGGCCACTTAGAAATACATTCATAATCAACAAACAATATTTGGCTCTCATTTGAAAACCATAAAAATAACTTTTCACAGCATAAGACAAGATTCAGCGTGCTTATACTTATTATTGATAAGTTGGATTGTAAGGAAAAGTTGCATTTGAGTGTCGAATGTAATTGGCTCCGCTATTACGAATATTCAAGGAGTTAAATCTCGATTTTTATATCTTGACACGCGTCAAAGGTCACCTGAATGGCCCTGAAAGTGTTTTCAATTCCTCACTGAATTCTTTATCGCTTGAAGAAATTATAATATAAAAAGAAAGTGCTTTACTCGTGGTAAATATTTTGTACGTGCTATTGAGGCGTCTTGTTGCCACTAGGAAAAAATTAAAAGGAGTTTATCTAGTTCTACCTTTGCAATGATGAGCCGAACAAACCATAAAATGATTCAGTCCAACTTATTTCTTAATTTTTTCTGTGTAGTTGGGCGAGATAACTTTCACAATTTCTCTCTCCACCCTTGAATATAAGTGGAAACAAAGAAACAACTTGGTGCATGTATAATATCTACAGGTTACGTCTGTATTAAATCTAATGTTTGCTGTTTACGAGGACTCAGCAAATCTCTTTATGAGAAGCATCTCGAATATTTCTTGATCCTTTTTCTTTGTTTTCAAGTGATGTTGTTGACGCTTGATCCTGACCGTAATCGGCCTCTGAGATTAGAAGATAAGGTTTGAATTTTTTGAGCAGAAAAACTGGCCTTTTTATCGACTCGCAAGAGATTCTTCAAGGCGGACCAGAAGTCGCTTTTGAAAAACGTGTAGAGCAGGGGGTTGGCGAAAGAAGTAATGTGTCGAATGATCATAAATCCCTCTAAGACATTGAACAATACTGGGACTCCCATAGCAATATAGTACATGGTAAAGTAAGCGAGCGAGCAGCATGTAAATAGAATCGCCATGCTTAAAAAAACAAAAATACACTTCCGGTCACTGTTGTTTTTCTTCTGGTTCCGTGACATGTCATTTTGAGCCATCGATGGTCGCTGCCTATTATTTATCACTCTGAACATGGCTACGAATGCGTAAATCATAAATATGTGCGGGATGAGGAACACTGCAACAATGCAAACTGCAGTATGGATGGTCTGCCAACGCTGAGATGCTTTAGTATCTTGCCAAACAAGAGGAATGACAGCAAAAACCGTAGAAATGATCCAAACCCCGAGCACAATTTTCAAAACCAAACTCTTAGTCACCGCATAGTGTTTTAGTGGACTGACAGTTGCTAAGTACTTGAGAGCAGTAATAACGAGTATGTGATAAGCACCTGAAACAGCCAGTAATGTATGTGAGGCGTATATCCCATAGTGCAATTCTTTTGGCAAAATTGCAAAACTATAAACGATGAAGTATGGGATGGCGATAGCGCCAGTACAAAAGTCACAAACTGCCAGATTAAGAAGCAGATAGTTTGAAGAAGTGCGGAGACGGGGACACCGGTAAAACAAGACAAACACGAGTCCATTTGCCAGAACTATTGCTATGGCAACTGGAAGAAGTTTGCTCAAGGCCTTGACTCCATCGTCGGAGTGTTGCTGAGGAAACTTTGAGGTTGCATTGGTGTCATTCATGCTTACTTCCATTGAGACGACGAATGAATACGAAAACACTGAAAGAGGGCAAAAATGAAACAATTCCATCACAATTCTAGAAATATTAGGTCATTCTTTGAAATATCAGCGTTATAATGTTAAAAAGGTGTTCTTTTACTTCGCAGAATTGAAAATTACTGATTTCCAGGGCATACATACTCCACTGGAATAAATCGACTTTCTTTTTTTTCCTAATATCCGCTACTTCAGGTAATGTGGTTTTAATTATCGTTGTGGTGTATCCGATATCAACAGCCGAATCTTGATCAAACTTAGTAGTAGCTGAGAAAAAATCTAAAGTATCTAATGACATCAAATAACCAAAATTAGTCCTTTACCTTTCCGGCTTCAGAACTGATTAAGGCGTTTCTACCCCTTGGGAAGTTTCTATTACAGTCCGTTCTTTTTGTTGGAGGTTGCTTAAAAGTTGTTTTGAAAATCAAAATATCCGACAGAGAAGAAACAAGTGAAACTTGCAAATTGAAAACTCGACTTAAGTGCTGGAGGACAGAGATATTTTCATTTTTATAAACTTTCATATAAGATAACAAGTTATGTGTAACGCCAATTCCATTGAAACAAATTTTAGGCGCATAACCATTTCCTTACAGTAAAGAGATGTAGTTAGTGGAACAGGTTATTTACCAAGACTTTTGGCGCCATTATTTCATAATCCCTTCCTTCATTTCTTAGAGATTGTTTTTCACCGAGACACTAGTTGAGATTCAAACTGGGGACTTGTTCTTACTTGCTTCAGAATTTATACAATCAACGTACCTTACAACCCACTATGTAATAAAGAACTCAGATCCACAGCAGTTCAAGAAAAAAAAAAGAGCTTCGACTTCCTCAACTTCAATGAAAAGTCAATATTCAATCTGAGTGAGAAATATGTTAAGATGGCTTGTCATACAGACGACCAATCGTCGAGAAGATACTAAATTTACTAACCTATTCAAAATTCAGCTGAAGCCTTTTTTTTTAACTATTTCAGAAGGCAGACAGAAGGAAAATCAACGAGTGTCTTCATTGGAACATAAAGGAATAATAGTGTAATGACGAGACTGTTAATCCTAGAGGTATGTTATGTGATTGAGCTCAGCTAGGACCTTCCTGTTGTCTAGAAAAGCATGAAGTAAAATAGGTTCTTTTTTTCCAAAGTTATATTTATTATTTTTCATCGTGACGTTTGTGTTTAAACAGTCTGTTGGGGTTGAATAGACCAGTCTAAATTACAGGGGAAATGAATGGTGACAGCTTTTAATAAAATATTCTCCCAAGAGTGTAAAGAATGCAAGTGAATGATCCAGGATCCTGAGAGTAAAATTATATTAGGAAAAAATAAGGTTTGTCGTTATACAGCTTAGAGCTTCCTGTTACAAATGCTAGAGATCTGTTAATTAAATCTGTTGGCTGGTATTGCAAAAGGTAGAGTTGACACACTTTAAGCTGACTGTATTGACAGTCTCTTAGTTAATACCAAGATAAAAATGACACGTCTGAAAATTAAAATTTATCCATATGTCGCCTCAAAGAATGAATGAGGCTATGGGAATAGTAAGATAAGATTTAAAAATTTTCAACCTTCTGGACCTACCTTGATCGAAGAGTCTGCAAAAAACTCAAAAACTGACTAGCTTCCAGAGAGCCTCAATATCTTCAAAGTATTATTTGAACCATTTTTTTACGATTTAAAGAGACGCTTACTGTTTTCTTTTGTGGAACATTTTCATTTGGCCTCTTGCACCGGAGTAACAGTAATTATGACATAACTTAGACTCAACGTTCGCTCTGATTGGTCAAAAAATCTATTGTTTAGTTGCCTGTGTACCATAGAAAACTAAACCATCGTCCCGTCCTGCGAAATGGCGGCATAAGGGGCGAATTCCCAGATTTGAATTTTTTTAAAGGCCTTTGGGTAGTAGGAAACGAAGAGGACACTTTGAACGTCAAAAACAACGACAGAGATTTTATTTTTTAACATATCAAATTTTATATGTAGAATGAAACTTAAATGACTGATTGCTCCGTTTAAGCCTTTATTTTTCGCTGCGCGATCAGAGTGAAAGAACCTCTCGATTCGAATTCCCCAAACTGCTCCCAGAGAAGGAAAAAGTTGATAAGTTCCACGCACGCGATATCAAATTCTGACAAAATATCACTAATGACGAAGGAAAAGAACAGTACTCGCAGATGATATTTACACTACGTTTTAGGGAAAATGGTGTTTCAATTTAACTTTTTGTCTTCTTAAGAGCATTACAACAGTTGTTTTCTGTTTATTTTAAGCTGGTCCCGTCGACCTCAACAGTTAATGTTTTAAAGAAGACACTCGCCGCATTTCCTCGTCTACCTCCTCAAATGGCTAAGTAATTCTTTGTTTAATTTTGAGCTTGGAAGTAAATTTTTTCTTCTCAGCGATTGGTCGGCTGCATACTACATCATCTTGTCGTGTACCTGACTTAGATCAAGTATTGACATTTCTTTTAAATTGAAGGAACTCGAAGCCTTTTTTCCTGAATCGCCGTGCATCTAAGTTTTTTAATTGCATGGTAAATCGTTGGGCAAATGATCTGCTTTTAAGCTTTGAACATGAAATGATCATCACGCGATTAAGAGCAAGTTCGTAGATTGAATTTTGATCAGGAACATCGTTTTCTTTTTTGTTAAAAAAGAGTATGTTTCAATTAAGAAGGTAATCTATACATAAATGGGAAGAAAAACTCGGTAGGTAGCTTGATTTAATCGCTACAGTTTTCTACTTTAAGGGTATGATTCCGTACCTAAAATTAATTCAATAATAAGTCATGTTTCATGACATCTAAGACAAAATGAAACTATCTCTGTAATGGAGATCGTATTGCAATTTTCCTTCTCTACACGACATTTTGATTGGCAGAAAAACCTACTTTCAACCTACACGATTAATAGCTGACGCTTTTCCCCAAATGTTCACATATTTTCTCAGTTTTCGTTAAGTTTGATCAAAAATTTGGATGTTAAAATTTTTCCACCCATATTATATCTGAGGTAGTAAGTGAATGTTGTGGAAGAAAAACAGGAAGACAATTTATTTCAAAGGAAACCATAATTTTCATCTCCGCGAGTCAAAAGTACATCCAGAAATTTGACAGTGAGATTTTAAGGAGTAACCTAGGTATTATGTCGGATTGTGATAAATAAATTACTGTTTACCTGTGACGTATTAAGCCTTGCTCCTTTTTAATTTTTACATTTGCTTTTGAAATTGTGGCTTCCATAATTGAATTTTAGCTCTTTTAGACAAATGCAAATGTTGCGAATTGGAATTCCAAATTATTTCCTAGAGCAAGTTTCCATAACCCCGTTTTTAATTTATATTAGTCGAGGAAATACCCACCATTTTTTAACTCTACCTCGGTGAATAAAATGTTTAAGAGTAGAGATAATCAGCATGTTGTATGAAAGTGCTGCCCTATTAACTTAGCCTGGCAATTGGAGTTTTTCTTTACTCATTTATTGTTGATTTTCAATGCGATCATTCAACAGGCGGCTTGGAAGAATAAATAAATGAGGTCTAGAAGACCTTAAAAAAAGCTAGCTGTTGATATTGGGGATTTTTTTCGTGGTTGACATTTGATTATTGCCCATTTTTTTGGTTAACGGTTAATTCCTTTGAGATCCGCTTTGGACGCTGGGAAAAAGAAATACATTCTTTACGTTACGTTTCAGTGCGTACACTTACGTCATCAACATGCACGATGAGAATGCGAAGCAGGATTTTGCAACATATTCTAAAACTTTACTAGCTATGTGAGAGACTTGTGTAAAAGTTCGTGGATGACTCTGTAGGCAAGATGGCATTTGAAATTCGGCAACTTTTCCAAAAATTAGGGATTATTTTGAATTATTTTAACCGCCTCCCGGTTAGCTCAATGGAGAGAGCGCTGGACTGTTGTGCGAGAGGTCGAGGGTTCAAGGAGGAGACGTTAACTCCCCACGCACGAGATTAATGTGTGATGGATGTCCTCCCCTGGGGTGGGATGGGTGGGATTTATTGGGTAGACTACTCGCATGGTTCGCATATGTTCCGTTCTAGTCCTACCCTACTGCGGTAATGCAGTGAAAATGGTTAGAAAAGAGGTTATGGATGCTCTATACATAAATGTTAAATGAANTGAAGATTCGTATTTGCGTCAATTGTGTAAAAAGGAAGCTTTTTCAATTCAGTTGAATCTTCAACAACAAACTTTTTCAACACTAGTTTTTTCAAATTTTACCCTTTACGGTTTCAAAACGCTCGACAGCCTTCCCCCGCCCCCCAAAAAAATAGAGATAAAAAAAAAAATAATAAAATAAAAAGAATACGAAACGTTAGTAGCCAATAAGATATAACCCTGTAGCTAATGCTACCCGGTCAAAATGAAACTAGCGTTTCAAGTGGGTTTACAGTGTCCTGTTTATGAACGAAAGGAATGAAGTAGAGAAATACTAGCCTATAATTTCCTCTTTTGATATAAAAATAATCTGATTATGATAACAATACGAATAGTAAGGCTCTAATCGTATGTTAGAAGAACTTAGAGATTTCATTAGATATGCCATTAGTGCGTTTCATGTGCCCCACCGTATTTTCATTAGATTTTCCATTAGGGATTTTCGTTTACTTCGTCAGTAATTTAATATCAACCACGATCGCTTGCTGTGTGCTTGTCTAATTAGAGAATTTTTATCTGATTTATCTTGCGATTTAAGGGACAAATGAGAAAGAAACTTGTCAGGTATTTCGATACCTGATATTTCGATAGAAAATGATCGATATTTCGATAGAAATATGAAAATGATCGATATTTCGATAGAAATACCTGACAAATTAGAAATACACAATTTTTAAGCCTTGTTTCTGGTGGACCTCGCCATGCCGCGCCATTCGGTCTACCCTGGCTGAGATCATGTCAAACTTTTCAAAAGACTTCGTCTGCTTTTAATCTCAATCAACA